TAGTCTACTGTATTACTTTCAGGTTATTACTTAAAAAGCTTTAACCTAAATGAAATTGTGATTCTGTTGCTGAGCTTGTTAATTTAAAACAAGGCATGGCATAAGTTTAAAGTAACTATTATGACTGAAAAGTACAAATCAGGTATATAACTATACATTCGTCAATGGGAATTTCCTAGGTGCTTTTTCATGTAGTAATTTGAAGTTTAATATTACTTTGCAGAAAGGCTTTCCAATGGATGCAACACTTGATGATATCAAAGAATGGCTAGAAGGTAAAGGCTCAGTAGAAAACATTCAAATGAGGAGAACACTGAATAAAACATTTAAGGTAATCTTGTATTACAATAACTGATGTTTTGTTAGTTGTAAAAAACTGAGGCTCCTACAGAACATTCCATTAATCTCTTTAACTCTTAATATTCCTCAATTATTCAATAGGGTTCAATTTTTGCAGTATTTGATAGTGCTGAATCTGCTAAGACGTTCAGAGAGATACCAAATCAAAAGTACAAAGACACAGAGCTGATTGTACTTCTCAAGTAAGTCACCTTCACTTCAGTATGGCAATACAGGCATCAATTCAAACTGATCTTCAGTACTGCTTGATATGCGCAGTTCCATTTATAAAGATACTTCAGGGCTAAAGAGACAGTAGTAGCCAAAGAAACTTCTAGATTATTTAAAAAAAAAAGACGTTTTTATTGGTTGCATTAACTTAATGGATACCTCTATTGAAGGGAGGAATACTTCACAAAGAAGAATGAAGAGAGGAAACAAAACAAAGCAGAGGCTAAAGCCAAGGCAAAACAGTAAGCTTAGGCTATTGTTTAATAAGGAAGCATCTTATCCTACCTAGTTCATTACATTCTAACCAACTGTGATCTGAACTCTTACAGGGAGAAAGAAGAAAAACAGAAGCAAGCAGAAGATGCTGAAATGGTATGTACCTTTTGAATGGTCTGGAAGTGTAGATAGACAAGGTTACAATAAATCTACTTTGATAATGGTCAAGCCTGTTTTTGATACTGTTTTCATATCACTGGTAAATACTAAACCTACTTCTGCTACTACTGTGGTGGTGTGTGTGTGGTGGTTGTGTATGTGGGTGGTTTGTGATTTTTTTTTTTGTAACTCTGAACCCTAACATTATAGGGCAATAGTTTTCAAACTTTTTTCCTCGTGACCCAGTTGAAGAAAATGGTTAATGCCCATGACCCAAAATAATTATATTTTGACTAGAGTGTGAGCTCTGGGATGGGGTTGGGGGGGGGGGGGGGAGGAGAGGGCTCTATCTAGGGGTATGTCTAGACTACATGGCTGTGTCGCCAGAGGCATAACGAGGAGGTCGACAAATGGCTTTGTCGACTGTGGAGCGTCTATTCTACGGCGCTGTGCCGCCAAACAGCTGATTGGCACAGCGTGGCAGCCATTTAAATTTAAATGAAGCAGCGATTATTTAAATTGCCACTTCATTTGGGTATGTCTAGTAAACTAATCTACATGGCTCTGGCGACAGAGCCATGTTGTCTAGACATACCCTGGGTATGCAGGCTCTGGGGTGAGGTAAGATGAAGGTTTTGGAGTATAATAGGAGGTTCCAGGCTCGGGGATTAGGGCAGAGTGGCTTAGGGTGTGAGAGAGCTCTGGACTGGGGTGGGGGATGGGTTTCAGGGTGAGTGTGGGCCCCGTCTGAAGGTACAGGCTCTGGGGTGGGACAGAGATGAGGTGTTTGGAGTGAAGGAAGGGCTCTAGGTTTGGACAGGCTCAGGGTTGGGGTAGCAGGTTGGTACTCAGTTTGGGCATGGGATTTCCTCTGCCATCTCCCAGTTAGCAGTGTAGCAGGGGTGCTAAGGCAAGCTTTCTGCCTGTCCTGGCACTGTGGACTGCACTGTACCCTGGAAGTGGCCAGCAGCAGGTCTAGTTCATAGGCAGAGGTGCACAAGTGGCTCTGCACACTGCTTTCGCCCACCAGTACCGATCCCCAGAGCTGGTGCCCAAGTTGGAGGCAGTGCAGGGAGTCCCATCCAGCCCTGTCTAGGAGCTGGACCAGCTGCTGGCTGCTTCTGGGGCACAACAGGGTCTGCAGTGCCAGGACGGGGAGGAAGCCTGCTGGAGCACCCCTGCAGGGCATCAGGTCACCCTCGAGCAAGGTGACCCAGTGCCTGACAGTCTGTGACACCATAGTTTTAAAATCACTTGTATAGAGAATGCCATCCATTACCCAAAATGTGAGCACTTGGCTCAGAGCATAACTTTGCCTCCACAATGATTCTGACCTCCAACACAAACACATATTTTGCTTAAACTGAAGTTTCAAGACCTAATTTTGTCAATTTATTACAAGATGTTAATTTGATTTTTTTTCCTGTGTAGAACAGATATCACTGTAAGTGATTAATTGAGGAGCATTGAATAGCTGGGAAATATGCCAGGGTAATATCCCATATATGAACAGACAAGATGTTTGGGGGGAGGGAGGTATGGCAGGGACGAGCACTTCTAGTGGTACGGACCATAAAAGCATAGACTTATACATTGGGGTCATAGCCCCTCCCCTTCCCCAGGCTAGTGGCACATGTATGCCAAAAGCTGAGATTATCCTCTTAGGAAAAGGGGGTCTGGAAAAGAATGAAAATAGAATACTGCCTCTGAAAAACTTTTGTGCTTGGACATGCTTTGGCATGAAAAGTATGAAGTACTTGGCCTCCTGGCAATACAGCTAGATCCATGGCACTTGATCTCTTATCAATTGTTGCAATCTTTTCAGTGCTGTCCCAAAACATCGTGTTTCAGTGCAAATCTCAAATTCTAGCTGCCTTATTTTTTTAAAAAAAAGTTCTTGTATTTAGAAATCACTGGATGAAAAGACAGGATGCTTGCTGAAATTCTCCGGCGACCTAGAAGATCAGACTTGCAGAGAGGATCTTCATGCAGTTTTTTCTGACCACGGAGAAATTAAATGGATAGATTTTGTCAGAGGGGCGAAAGAGGTCAGAACGCTCTCGGATGAGATTAATTTTTGTCTTGTGTAAAATGTGTCTGGTATTTGAATGCTGCTTAAGTATCTGATTAATTTGGCAATGGTATATTACACCTTCTATTGGGGACTTAAGGAATGCAGAAATGATAGCGCTTGGAAGAAAATAATTAGCTTATTTATTCAGGTTTCCAGAGTAACTGCTGTTAGAAAGGGGTCTGAGTAAGAAGTAGCAGCATTAATGTGACTCTCTTCCAGGGCAGTTATACTTGGACTATGGCTAACCTAGAGCCATAGAGGACTGTACAATGATATCTATAGATATTGACATAAAATTAAGACTAAATTTAAAGCTCTCAGTTAAACAAGACCAGTTATTAAATGCAGCATCACTCATTCCAAGGAGATTAGAGAGAATTATCAGAGCAAATGCTGGCCTTTTTCTTAATTACTTCGCTATGCACATAGACGGTTATGTCACTAACACTTCATGGTAGGTGATACTCCAGCTGCAATCATGTTAGTGCTTTTGCACTGGGAAGAGTCCATAATGCAAAGTATGCTTGTTTCTATCTTAGGGAATTATCCTATTTAAAGATAAGGCAAAAGAAGCACTGGATAAAGCCGAAGAAGCAAATAATGGGAACTTACAGTTACGCAACAGAGATGTCATATGGGAACTGCTGGAAGGGGATGCAGAGAAAGAAGCACTGAAAAAAATCATGGAGGGCCAGCAAGAGTCATTAAACAAATGGAAAGCAAAAGGTGATTTCCCCTTCTGACTAATTTGAATACCACTTGGATAACTTTCATAGAATTTCTATTATTACAATGAACTTGTCAGATGGTGCACACAGTTTTGAATCATTTTAGTTTTAGTAAATGACTAATTCATAGTTCTTCCAAGTTCTTTATCTTGTACATTTTAACAGGTCACAAATTTAAAGGTAAAGGACGAGGTGGCAAAGGAACCCAGGGATCACAGAACAAAGGGAAAGTACAGTTCCAGGGCAAGAAAATAAAATTTGAGAGTGAGGATGAAGAGGGTGAAGAGAATGCTAAAAGAGGTGAGCCATCTTGTGCATATGATGACTTTTATGGGCTGCTGGGAAATCCTTTGCAATGATTTCTCTAGAAACTGGTCAAGTTGGTTTATAACAAAAAAGCCCCCAAAGCAGTTTTCCTGATCATTCAAATTTAATTATGTTCTCAGGACTGTTGCTCTTGTGGAGATTTGTGAAATGAAGGACTGATCTGCAGAGTTGAGCATGTACAGGGCAATACAAAGCAGCTTTAACTGAAAGGATAGTAACTGACTACATTGTTCTGTCCTAAACTTGCTTAGCACTATACAGTTGTTGGAAAATGATTAATTTACCCTAAGTAAATGAATGCCCTTATCTCAGCATGGTAGGAGAAACATTTTGTCCGTGGCCCAGAACAGTGGTTTTTAACTCTTCCATATTGTGGACTGTCGTCTTTTCCTGTTGAGATTTTGGGTGTCTGACTAAAGGAAGTCTATCTTCCATTGTAATTTGCAGTGCCGTGCTAGCTATGCTGATCTTAGGATACTAGAGAGATGAGGAGAATGAGGTAATACCTTTTATTGGACCAACATCTGTTAATCCAGTAAAGAGAAAATTACCTCACCTACCATACCTCTTTTAATGACCAATATTGTTACTGTTTTTTAAACTGGAAGAATTCTGGGTGCTCCTCTTGAGTTATACTATGTAGTGCAAATCCTCTGGAAACGAGTCATGGATGGGTCTGAGTTGATTCAGTGTTACATAGCAGCTGTTGATCCCCTAGAATTGTTCCATAGGCAATATGCAAAGCACTGATTTCAAGGCAGTCTGTTCATAGGCAGCAATATGAAAGATTGTATGCTTTAAGCTGGAGAGACATAGTCTTTAAAGTAATATAAAACTTCCACCAGTTCCATAAGTGTATAACTATAAAAACTCTTACAGGGCCAGCAAGTCCCAAGAAAAGACCACTAGAAGAGAATGAAAAAGAAGAACCTGCATCAAAACAGCTGAAAACAGAAAATGGAGCTGGAGATCAGTGATCATGTTCTTTAAAAACAAACAAACACTGAGTTTTTATTAATCCATTTTAAATAGGTTTTAAGCCATTCCTCAGTTTGGAAGTTTTTCAAAGGAAAACCTTATTAAATCCACTTCGATATCCACCTGTAATGAGAGGAAAGTTTTTTTATTTTGCGATACTTTTTTTTTTCCAGATGCATGACCTTAACATGCCAATATGGATTTTTTTAAAATATTTATAGTTTTGCTTATTCTGTCAGATCTTCTCACTATTTCTGGTATTGAGTCAACTGTATAAAGGGAGGGTCTATTCCTGAATCTAATTTTGAAATTGTATCAAAAACAGAATAAAATTCCATATTTAAAAATTGTGGAGAGTTGAATGTCCACTTCAAGTTTATGAATGTTAGTGACAGAATTCTGTCAAAGTGTGTACATGCTACTTAGTTTAGACCATCAGTGAGCAATAACTAGTCTTCTGCCTGGATGCGGTTCACCAAGATTAGTTCCTGGTGGGCAGCTAGTGCTTTGTTTACTTGCGCCTCCATAGGTATGACTGCTTGAAGGTCCTGTTCATGGCAGAGTGCTGTTTCCAGCAAATGGGAAGTGGTTCAGACTAGAACACTGCTTCCCGCAGCTCCCATTGACTGGGAACAGTGATCCGCAGCCAACAGGACCTCCAATCAACCATGCCTGTGGAGAAGCAGGTAAATAAAGTGTCAGTGGCCCACTGGCTCACCCCTAGCTTAGTTAATCTATTTCCTGATCAGTGTAAGGATAGGTTCACTGAAATAAAACTCCTGTAGTCCTTGTCTGCAAAGAAGAGGCTATTTAACCAAAAACAGGGGATACATAATCTGAGTGGGGAATACATAATCAAGGCTGCCACTGATGTCACAATTTTTAGTCTGACTCTTAGGCTACAGCTACACTACAAACTTTTTCTGGAAGAGGAAATGCAACTGGAGCACTTATTTGCATCTCATACACTCATTTGCATATTCTTTCACTCCTTTTTGCGCAAAAAGGTGCCTTCTAAACAGCGCTTTTTTGCACAAAAACCTCTTCCACAAAAAGGATTGGAAGATATATGCAAATGAGGGCACAAGATATATGCAAATGAGAGCTCCATTTGCATTTCCTCTTCCTGAAAAAGTTTGTAGTGTAGCCATAGCCTAAGTGTAACACCTACTCTCATCCAAGTCTTACAGATTATTTCCAGATATCCTCTGAACTCTGCTGTTTTTCTGAACAGGCTCTTATTCTGGTCCTCCACTGTGTGACTATTGTGACCTGCCCTTTAGTTGTGATAGATGGCAGAATGGTCTCAAGTTGGAATGGAGGGGGGGTTAAGTTAGATATTAAGAAAAAAACTCTCATTAGGAGGGTGATAAAGCACCAGAATGGGTTTCCTTGGGAAATGGGTTACCTAGGGAGGTAGTGGAATCTCCATGCTTAGAGGTGTTTTTTTGTCATTTTCTTCTTTTAAAGGCCAGGCTTGACAAATCATCCTGTCTGGAATGGTTTAGTTGGGATTGATTGATTGGTCTTGCTTTGAGCAGGTGTTGGACTAAATGACCTACTGAGGTCTCTTCCAACCCTAATCTTGTATTATTCTTCTTGGTATCCACCTTGATCCACTTAGTCACTCTAAATACCGCTTTTTCTCACAAGAAGGTCAACTCCTTTCCTTCCAAAAACAACCTCTCTCTCTTCTCTTCCCCCCCCCCCCCCTCCCAAAATACATTGCTTCCACTAAATGCAATGTTTTGGTCCTTATTCTTCATTTTATGGTGTCCAACTAGATCTGAAGCAGTAGCCACTTATAGTGGCTATTGGCTATAGCAAACTATCCACACTCAACTGGCCAAATAACCACATGTAGCTAGTTGTTGGACAGCACAGCTTCATAATTTAACCCCTTCCTCTCATATCTTGAATCACATATTGCTAGTGTCTCCTACCCTGCCATCACTTAGCTCAATGCTCCCACTAGCACTTGATTGCATCTGGTTAGCATGGATAACAGCACTGTACACCCTCAGACTAGTCCAAAACCATGACCTTTCCATTAAAGGTAAAATCCTGGTCCTATTTGAAACCAAATGACGTTTGTCCATGGTAGTCAATGTGGCAGAATTTCACCCTAGTCATCTGTAGGTGGGAGCAAGTAGAGTTTAGACATTAATTTGATACATGCAAAGATGATCTGATATCCCCAGCTCATATCTATTTCTTGCACCTACCTGTTATGTCTTAATTTAATTAATGTCTTAATTTAATTAATTCAGGGCCTTTGATAAGCCAAATGCAAGATCTGGGCCTAAATGTTATGCAATACAATCTTACAATAGAATTCTTCATGCTAGAGGTACTAACTGCAGTGGCTGAAACTCACACAGAAATAGAGGCCACTTAATTTTTCTGGAATGTTTTTACTCCAACTTCAGTTGTGCTTTGCCACAGAGCAAGTTAGGGTATAACATCAGCCTGAAACCAAATGGGAAAATGATCTTGATAACCATACTAAATTGAGTCTCACATGGAGGTCTACCACCCTTGTTGCGTCTATTACACTATTGCAATGAGTGTTGAACTAAATTAAGACTTCTTCAATCCTAAACTAGTAGACAAATACCTCTCAATTTCAAATATAAAATGGGATTACAAAATACTTACAGATTTCTTTTTATGAAACTTGTATGATGCTGGTAAGTCATACCTAAGTTCTGTGAAGAGCATAAAAAACACCTATCATATTCAAAATATGTTGCTGCTCATTAGTGTTAGCCAAACTCTATTATATTCCTTGATCACTGGTTTTTTGGAAGCAACTTGACTAAAACAATTTGGCTTTTCATTTATTCAGTCTCTCTAAGCCTATTCTTTTAAATTGTCCTGATCAGTGAATATGCATTAATACCAAAAAAGGCAATGTTTCATAGTAGCAATTTCCTTCTAGAAAGAAGCTTTCTACTAAAGGACTATCACAATATGTAATGATGATAACTTGATATTCTATTATTATAAATATTGCTGTCTTTAAGTATGGCACAAGTCTTGAAATAGCTACCAGAATTTAGAGAGATGTTGACAGCTCAAATTGAGGACAGGAGCAGTGAAAGATAAAACTCGTTGACCACACTTTGAGGAGGGGTCTGATGCCTTCTCAAGACAATGGAATTATTCCTATTGAATCCTGTCTAAGATGGAATTGGTGCACCTTTTGAGAAGTTTTGCCTGACTATATCCAGAATGTTATTTTACTTTTTGATCAACTGGACATCTTTAAACATTAGAGGTATTTGTCCTGGGGGAAGAAGAATCTACAAAACCTCCTATTTCATTAGTTTAGATCTTCATAACTTGCTACTTTAAGTTTTACTTTTCCATCCTAACTACTGATTAATCAGTTTTTCATCCTGATGGATTGTATTTTTTTAAATTAATTTTAACATGTTACACCTGAATAATAGTGGGTGCTGGAGGTTATAATCCACTAACAGTGCATTTTTAAAAAAGTGTATGTATAAATCTTACCTGCTATAACTTCCATCTTCACTTTCCATTCATCTGCTTTCTTTTGAATATGCTGAATATAAGATAAGAGTCCATGAACTTAGCTCCAATTATTTAGTTTATGGCATTTTGAGAATCACCATTTAAAGCTACTATTCAGGGCAAATTGTTTTATACTTGAGTTTTGAGTTGAAGTAGTATCTGAGAGCTGCATTCTCCTATTCCAAAGCTAGTTTTCTAGCCTAAATCATTCTTACACACAGTAATTACTAAGACTCCAAAAAGAGAACGCCAATCAAATTTTTAAGGTGTGTGTGTGTATGTATATATTAAAAAAAAAATCAGGAATGTTAAAAATCATGTAAAAATATAGAATTGTGTGTAACTGCTAAAAATCCTAGAAGTTGCATGTGCTGTGGGCTCTGCAGTAGTGTGGGGGGTGACAGTCAGCTCCCCAGAAGCCAGATAGTGTAGAACCACAGTGAAACCCTGCCAGACCTGCTCCCAGGGACCCAGCATGTAACCATAATGGAAACAAACAAACTGATGCTTATTTAAATTGTCACACTTTTACATCCAAGGTTCTACAGGAGTCTGTTTTGGGACTGGTTCTGTTCAATATCTTCATCGACAATTTAGATATTGGCATAGAGAGTATGCTTATTAAGTTTGTGGATACCACCAAGCTGGGAAGGGTTCCAAGTGCTTTGGAGGATGGTCATAATTCAAATGATCTGGACAAACTGGAGAAATGGTCTAAGGTAAATAGGATGAAGTTTAATACAGACAAATGCAAAGTACTCCAATTAGGAAGAAACAATCAGTTTCACACATACAAAATGGGAAGTGTGTGTCTAGAAAGGAGTACTGCTGAAAGGAATCTAGGGGTCATAGTGGACTATAAACCAAAAGTGAGTCAACAGTTATGACAGCTGCAAAAAAGCAAACATGATTCTGGGATGCATTAACAGGAGTGTTGTGAGCAAGACGTGAAGTCATTTTTCTATTCTACTCTGTGCTGATTAGGCCTCAGCAATACTGCATCCAGTTCTGGGCACCATATTTCAAGAAAAATGTGGAGAAATTGGAGAAGGGCCGGAGAAAAGCAACCAAAATGATTAAAGTTCTAAAAAAGCTATGAGAGAAGGCTGAAAGAATTGGACTTCTTTACTTTAGAAAAGAGAAGACTGAAAGGGGACATAACTGTTTTCAAGTATCGAAAAGGGTGTTTTACAAGGAGGAGGGAGAAAAATGGTTCTCCTTGGCCTCTGATAATATAACAAGAAGCAATGGGCTTAAATTGCAGCAAGGGAGGTTTAGGTTGGACATCAGGAAAAACTTCCTAACTGTCAGGGTGGTTAAACACTAGAATAAATTGCCTAGGGCTGTTGTGGAATCACCATCACTGGAGATATTTAAGAACAGATAAGATAAACTTCTATCATGCCTGAGCAAAATCCAGCCTGCCAAGCTACTGGCTCTGGCAGTAGGGAACCCCAGACATACTCCCCTGCTTGCCTTGCAGCCTCACATGCTGCTCAAAAATGGATCTGCCTAGCCCTGTTTCCTTTTTAAAACTGTAATCCCAGAGGGGAGGGGAATAAGCTTCAAGCACTGCCCTGGTCCAACACAATCCCATTGGCTGGTTTCAGACCAGAAACTGTCCAATGGGAGCTGCCCGTATGAATAACAAGCAGCCACAAAGCACCACACACTCTTCCCTCTGGCTCAGTTATTCATGCTAGCACACAGGCAGGCTGGCTGCCTGACTGAGAAATATTTTAAGCTCTGCAAGCCTTTAGCCTGGTAGGCAGGCAGGCTGGTTTGGCTACTGGCTGGTAAGTCTCCTGGCCAAACCCTGCCTCTGGTACCCCAACCTCTCCCTTCCCCAACTCTGTGCCCCCCCACTCCTGCCCCTCTCCTGCACCCATATTTCCTCCCAGATCTAGCACCCCAATCTTTTGCCCCAGATTAGTCCCCTCCTACACACATCCCAAAACCCTGCAGCCCACTCCCTTACCCCAAGCTCCCTTCTGCACCCAACTTCAATCCCAGACCACACACCATCTCCATTAATATGGAAGTGTGTAGTGCTCAACTACTTTCCAAAATTTTGGAATGGCCCCTCATCAAAAATGATTGCCCACCCCAATCTAGAAGGTTCTTGGTCCTGCTGTTGGGGTAGGGGCCTGGACTCTGACCTCTTGAAGTCCCTTCTGGTTCTAGTATTCCATGATCCCTAATATATATATATATATATACACAAGGAGGAGGGATCACCCGAACTCAGCTCTTCTGGGTTACAATCTACTTGCCACGGGTGAGTAGATTGTATTATTTGTTGAGCCCTGTATATAACCATTTATGCAATGAGCATTATACCTTAAGTATCTTAGTTTTCAAACACCCAAAGCACAGGCACTGATTTTGGTTACTGAATCCATGCTTTAACTTACAGAAGTACTGAAAGAATAGGAAGATTAGAGTGCCACTAACACCTGCTAAATGCTTAACCAGCTGAAGTCAAGGGACTTACTTGT